GTCATGAATGGGTGTCAAAGAAGTCAAAACGACTTGCTACTTCTGGCAGTTTTATCAAATTAATCTTTTAGGAGAAATGTTCATAAGTGCAGTTCTCAGAGAAAGATATTTCTAAAAGACTTAACAAGTGTTTGACAGCTGTAATGTGTGTGTACAATTTCAATCCGTACATATAATAAATGGATTTAAATCCGTTTTAAATCTAAGCCAAACATACACAGATTTACTGGCCTATATAACAAACTCCATATTGTACAAAACTCTACTGATGTAAACTATCTGCCAGAGGTATTACACAACCATTAATCCAGATATTTCACTCAGAGAGGTTTTGACCCAGTACAGCTCAAGTACACAAAGACATATGGGGCATGAGTGACTAAAATAGCATCTGACCCTGTGAGAATCACACCAGTTCTCTACACTGTGAACAATGCTCTCGAATGTAAGTGCCAACCTTTGTGTTAAGAGAATAATTATAATTATATTAAGGATACACAAATTGGACCCGAATGGTTTAGATGCCATATTAGGTGGATTGACATTTTGCTACAGTAGCTAATAATTTTAAGTCATTGTTTGGGTTTGTCGTGGTTTTCAAAAATGTCACTATTTTAGGTCATTCCTGCTGCATGGAGAATTGCAAATATTTCACATTTCAAGCACAAAACTGATGAACTTACTTTAATCAAGCATTTCTATGTGTAAAAAAACAAAACAAAACCATGAAACAAGTTAATGTTAAAGTTAGTGATCATTAGTTAGTTGGTTAGTTGGACGTGTTTTCGATGGGCTCCCACATTTCTTAACAGCACATGTTAAGAAAAAAAAAAACAAGTTAAACGTATATATATATACATTCATACATACATACATACATACATACATTCATACATACATTCATACATACATACATACATACATACATACATACATACATACATACATACATACATATACACACACACACACACACACAGTGGTGCCTGCAGCAGTACAGCACTGTGCGTACCTACCATGGGAGGGCGTCAATTAATGCCCCTTTTTGATTTATTTATTTTATTTTTTTTACATAATTTCAGCTGATTGTTAAACAGTATACACTACAATACATTGACAAATCAAGAAAGAATGAGAATAACTAAAGGTGTGCGTTTGTGTTTAAAGTGTGTATGTACTTGCATGGTGAAAGATGGGTAAAAAGAAATCTATTGGCTTTAGTTTTGCTAGTTGTTTTTCCCGCACATTAAATATTATAATTCAGATAGCTATTGTTCAAACAAGGTTCCAAATAAGTAAGTATATCGTTTTAATACAGCTAAACTTAATTGTGACGTTTGCCAAAAGGCCTAAAACTGATGAGACAAACATTGCTTCCCTACACAAGACTGCACTCATATCAGCACTTGAGCCGGGGGAACTCCAGGCCCAGCCCATGTCTGCGCAGCATCATTGCATGAAACCACTATCATTCAAGGTGTTTTAAACAATCTTATCTGACAGAATGGCATCAAATCCTCAGCAAAGGCCCACCATTTTTCCCTCATTGTCCATGTCAAGCTCACCAAGATGCAGCACATCCCTATTTGACCACAGAAAGATCTTCTGGCAAGGCTGCTGTCACCTCTGTTGATGCCAGCTAAGATTCTAAGCTTCCAGCTCTTCACATTTCTGCCTTCCTTCTGACTTTGGATCTAGCACCCATGTTGTGCAGGATTAACTCAACCTGGGAAAAATGGTGTATGCAGTGTCCGGCCAGGCAAACCAATACAACAGCAGCCACAACTCCAACAACAAGTCCCAATCACAGTTGATCAGTTGATCAGTGTTAGGGTCCTGGATGACCTCTTTCTGTCCGGCACTTACCTAGGTTTATCTTCCCAGAGGAGGGTGACAACGACAGATGAGGCCAACTCAAGAAGGCATGCTCTTTTGCAGGGCAGACAAGCATCCAGCCCCTGGAAATCCCTGGGGCAGCACCTACACATCAACTGCCTTGAGATTATGGCAGCTTTCTTAGCCCTAAAAACATTCATGTTATCCCTGCAGGGATGCCATGTCTTAGCCCAGTCAGACAACACAACTGTGGTGAGATATAAACAACCAATGAGGACATAAGACTTAGCTGTTTGATAGGATGGGCAAACTGAACATCAGAGAAGATATGCTCTCTAGAGGCAATGTAGCCTCAGGCAAATGGATGCTACATTCTGAAAGAGTTCAGCAGGTCTGGACTGTCTTTGGGAAAGCAGAGGTTAACTTTTCACTTCAGAAGACTACTCTCACAGCCCAGCATATTTTTTGATTTAGTGAGATGCAGTGGCCTAGTGCTCACCTAAATGCATTTCCCCCAGTAATGCTGATACCCCAGATTATCAGGTGAGGCAGAGAAACGAGATGCTTGTTTTCCTTCTAGTGGCCCAAACCCAAATCCTAAACCCCTCTCTGAAAGCTGGCCAACTCAAGTGGTAAGACTGACTTAGTCATTAATCAGTTTAACCCTCCTCATTCTCAGTCTGTATCATTGCAGGACCTCTCTGTGTGTCTGAACGTTTCATTTCAGGCCACTTTTGGTTATCTTGAAACTTAAAATATGCTCCTCCTGGAATGAAGCGAGATAAGTGAGTCAGTGACATGCAAGCACTCTCAATCAGTACTTCCTGTCTCTAGTTTGGACCTGATCTGCTTTGGTGGTGGTGTAAGGTGCTGTCAGTCATGACGAAGCAACTTTCCCACCGGATAGTCATTTGATTGGACTCGTACATGTTAAAAAGCAATGAGAGTTAACGTTTAAAAGGGAATGTTCTGGTAACTGATATAACCTCGATTCTTTGAGACATAAGAACGAGCACTTCATCACTGGCCATGCTAATTTCGACAAGTTATTTGACCGTAACTTAAGCTAAATAATGTGATGAATGGCTTGATAGACTGACTTTTAAAGAACCTGGCACTGCCACATCCGGCAAGCTAAAGCTGTGTTTTGATTTTCAAGTAAAACAGGAGTTTTCCCCTGAGATTTGTCCAAAACAATACTTGTTTACTTTTATCAGATATCTGTATTAACTTCAGTATCTGTACAGTATAATTTGTCCTCAGTAAGTTGAAACTGAAAAGTTTTCTGCAACCTTGTTCTCTTGTGGTTCATTTGGAGGGATGTTAGTGCCGAGAACATTGGGCATTGTTGCAAGTTGATGTCTATTTATGGTTCTATTCTTTGTTTGGTGTTATATGTCTGTGTGATCATTTTAAAATTACATATAGACTCTGAATAATAAGCAAAACATGTCAAAATACTCACCATCCTTCGGTTTATTCTCTCTTCAATCGGGGGTCACCACAGAAGAATGATCCGCCAATTACTCTGGTAAATGTTTCACACTGTGGATGCCCTATCAGGAACATCCCAGCACTAAGAGTGCAACCCTCAGTGCTTGCAAACACCCACACGGTCTCCTATTTACACACTATTGCCAATTTAGTTTATTCAAAATCTCATATACCTCATGCATTTGGATTGTGAGCATGTCAAAATATTTATCAAATTGTGTCTCAAAATTATTTCTATATGTGCTTGACCACACATGTTTTACATGTAACCACCCCTGTATTACATTCAATGCTTTGCTGCTGGTTTTCAACTCAACATCTCAAATGTTTTTATTGTAAATGTGTATAAATTGACTTATGGGCTTAATTGCATTCTGTTTTTCAGTGCTGGTATTCCCTATTTTATTCAACAAAATACCAACAGTCAGGCTGGTAGGATTTAAAGTATCGTAATGTACATCCTTAAATACAAGTATATTTTCAACCGATCTATTGAGTGTGTCACAATGGAATAAACATATTAAACGTAAACACACCAGGGCATATAAAAATTCCCTGAGTAACAAAAATAAATGTGTAAACGTCTTGAACGATCTAAAGCTTGTATTACTGCACTGAAAAACCCAACAGTAAACATTATTAAATGGAATGAGTGTAGGTTTAACTCAAAATTTACTGAAAGTTAATTCTACTCGTTTAAAAAGTTTTGAACTCAGTGTTGAAGGTAATGAGTTAGTTAAATACCTCCTTACGTCAACTTAAATGGAGTAAGTTTACAGTACTCATATAGATATTTTTTTTAACTCAAATGGTTTAAAAATTGCAATCGGTTTCCTCAAACAGTTTGAATTGACTTAAAGAGCCCATATTATACATGAAATAGGGTCATATCTTGGTTGTAAGGGTCTCCAACAACAGTCTAATATGCATGCAAGGTCAAAAAACACTTTCATGGTCTTATAATCTGCATTTATTTTTACCTAATTATCCCAGCGACTCCTGTATGAATCGTCCAGTGATTCATTTGTTCCCAAACCCCTCCTTAGCGCGAAGCTAATCTGCGCTGATTGGACCGATGACAGTCTGTCGCGATTGGTCGACTGCCTTCAGTCAGAGAGTGAAATGGCCAATAGCTAATCAGCAATTTAAAAAGTAATCACAGTTCATACACGCTAGATAGTGTAGGCGTGGATTTTAGCTGCCACACACACACAAACACACACACACACACACCTCCGGACGAGAACGCTCCCGCTTCCTCCCGCACCCGCCAGGTTTTAGCCTTAGAACCCGCCCCGTATTCTGCCCGCCGCGCCCGATCCCGCTAAAGAGCGGGGGAGAACAAAACCGAAAATCTGTATAAACACACACACAGCACCAAGCATAAAGCTCTCGCTCGCTCGCTCGCTCGCGCTCTCTCTCTCTCTCTCTCTCTCTCTCTCTCTCTCTCTCTCTCTCATACGCGCGCGTGCGCACTAACACACAAGCACCAAGCAGACACATCTTTCTCTTTCTCAGGCAGCCCGCTCCCGTCCCAAATCAAACCCGTTACCGACCGCTCCGGCGATTTATTCGGAAATTTATTCCCGCGCCGCAGAAATCTGGCGCGGGGACAGCCGCGGGTATGCATATACCTCTAACGTTACCACGGAGCTCCATAAACAAAGCACCACGCGTCGCGTTTTTAACGTGACTTTGCACGCGATAAGAGAATATAGCCAGTTAACCTGATACAGTACACTCGGTTACAAGTAACAAATCACAACTAAATACATTTGCAAGCTAGAGTCAACGAGGCAACAACTTTAACCGCACGTACTTACACTTGAGAAATGGAAGAAACCCATCCTGATGTCCATCAGTAAGTTACTGATCCTTCCTTTAACAAACGCAGATGAAGTATTCTTTGTAGCATGTAGCTTCCAGAAGTTTCCAGTAGTTTCCAACTGCTTGGCTATAATGCTGAGGTTTCATCTTTGGGTAGAGACTCAATATATCCATCTGCAATGTGACTTCAATCGACCGGCATGTTTGTGTGCGTGTGTTTGTGGGTGTGTGTGTGTGTGTGTGTGTGTCTGGGTTACTGCGTCAGAGGGCGGGGCCTCAGGTTTGAAATCTCCCGGGTTTGCGCGTGCACGTGAAAAACTTTGTTTCGTTCGTACGTCATGGCGAAACACCTAATGAGTCGGTATCAAGGCGACTCGTTTGAAGCACTATGAATCGACTCTTTTATAGATGAATCAACAGTTTTAAACACTGTATTCTTACAGATTTAAGCCTTAGCTGGATACTTCACTTCACTTAGAGCTGTGTTACACACTACATGGAGGGGAATTTTCAAAAACCCATAATATGGGCTCTTTAACTTGTTGGGCTTTACAGTACTCAGTTGATTTGAATTCTCTTCATTCATTGGGTTTCACCGTGCTCAAATTGCTTCATTTAATCAAATAGATTAGGTTCACAGTACTCATTAGGATTAGTTTTTAATTTTTTTGTTTGTTTGTTGGTTTTAATGAACATACAAACATACAAAAAAGGGCAAAGGCAATTGTATCAGTAGAGAAGTATAGCAGCAAAAGGCGATGAGAAAAAAAATCAATAATTAAATGAATAAAAAATAATAATAAAGAAATAAACATACAAACAAAATACAAAAATCATAATACACACAGTTAAGCTGTGATTAAGGTCACACATATTATGAAAATACATCAGATGTGTTCATAGAGGCTCATTAGAGGCATCCCCTTTGTTTTTTAAGTAGTATGTATATTGTTCCAAGAGCATTGTTTCATTCAAGAGTTGTATGAAAAGTTCAAATGTTGAAGGTCTTTGTTGGTTCCAGTTGAGCAAAAAGCATTTTATTGGTAGAAAGGAGATGATGCCAAGTCTCTTTGTAAAAGTAGGATCAAGTGTCTTGTTCAGTTCTGTACCAAAGAGGTATAGTGTTAGTGTGTTGTCCAATGGAACTTGCAAAGCTTTGGCTGTCCTGTACTGCTTTCCAGAAAATCTTTTGCTTTTTGCATCTCCAAAAAATGTGCATGATTGATCCTGAATAGGTTTTACATCTGTGGCACCTGGATGATACATGAATGTACATTTTGCTCAAAGGAAGTGGGGTCAGATACATCCTATGCATAAATTTATAATTTTGTTCAATTATTCTGTTATTGGAAAGGGTAATGAGAGTATTCTGGCAAATAGCCTCCCACTGATTGTCATTAAAATTATATTCAAAATCTCTTTGCCACACGTTTTTTAAGTGATCCCAGTGAAGAGTTGTATAAGAGTGCAGAATATATCTCTGAGATCTTTCCTTTTAAAGATTCAGAATTCACCAAAATCTCCTCTATATTGGACAGCTTTAGGCATAGTAGACCTTACTTTTCATGACTAATTGTCAAATGGCGAATTTGCAGATATTTATAAAAATCTTGTCTTGGTATCTTGAACTCTTGTCTTAAGTCGGTGAAGGACTTAAGTGTATAATTGATAAACAGATCTCGAAAGTGGCATATACCGTGTTCCTTCCACTTTATAAACAAAGATTTCCCAGGTGAGGGTGGCAAATCTGGGTTAGGGGACAGAGGAGCTAACATAGATATTTTAACAGAGGAGCCACAAAACCTTTTTGCATCTTTTTGATGCAATCAGTTTCTTAAAATGGTTTGAATTGAAATGGTTTTTACACATTTGGCATGTATATCATTTTTATTTATTTTTTTGCTTCTGTGTTTCTGAGCACTGTATATGAAAGCTCTGTTTTGTAAAAACAATATTTAAATATTTTAACAGCAGCTAGACTAGATTGAATATCTATTTTGAACGCACATGTTCAACAATGAACAGTCCTCTCTTATTCAAACATCTGCTAGGTCGCACAGAGATCTGTGTATCTGGAATTCATCAGATAAATCAATATGTCATCAATATGAATCATTGCAGGGGGGGCAAATGTCCAATGTTAACTGCCCCTTGGCTTTTTAGACTCAACAAAAGTAACAAAAGGGAACAATGAAGTGAACCTCAGCTGTGAGAATGCACCTCATCACAGAGACAAAAGACTCACATATTCTGCCGTCATAAACACATTCTTTGGTTTTATTTTTGTTCTTTTATAGTGTGGTGCTCTTTTCTTTGCCAGAGGTGCTGGTTTAATTGCATAGAGTTAAAAAAAAAGAAGCGATCTGTTATTAAGCATGTGTTGATTCTTTGGTACAATCTGTTGAACAGGTTCTCTAGGGAATCTTTCGAATCAGATGATGCAGATGGGCAGAACAAGGAACAGAGATTGAATGTGAGTCAAAGACAGACAGAGACTGTCCACACTCGGGCCTAGTAGTACTCTCAGAAGCTGAATCAGATGCATTTGTTTCACCTGTGCTTTCAGACCAAGATATATATATATATTTTTTTTACCAGTAAGGCTATCTTGGTCTTGCCTGAATGAATTTATTTTAATGCAAGATTATTTTTTTCAACTGAGGACTATAGGAGATTACAGTGGAAACATTCTGCACTTAAGAAGAAAGATGCTGCTCCATCTGCTCAGAGCACTTCTTCAGCTGAACATATTTACTCAATCTAGAGATGCAGATATAACACCAACCTTCACTTCAATCACGATGAAGAGTCTGCCACACCTGGATTTGAGGCAAGCTGTTGATGTGAATGGTGAGTTAATTTGCCTTTGTCTAAAATATATTTTAGAAAATGCATTTTTGGTACGTTTGCATGACAAAGGGCAGTGAAGGCAAGCTCTAGAAATGAAGTTGCACATCCCTGACACAGATGGTCAAATAGAAAAACTCTCATTTAAGTTTCACATTTTCAGAAAGCATTAGGATTTCCTTCATACAATTTTACTAAAATGACAATCTGATGCATACCAAGCCAGTAAATGATTTCACTTTATAAAGAAACACTATAGGGTCCACACTTTACATATTTTGGATGCCTTGTTTAACACAGCTTATTTAGATAAACAGTTAATTAAAAGAGTGGTCCATGAAGAAACCGAGTTCTGAATGATATGTTCCCTACATAGTGTTCGCTGATGTCTACCCCCTGGCCACTGAACACTGAAAACCGGTTGAACTAACGAATAAGATTTGCCTTTCACGGTTTGCAGTGTCTTTGACAAAACTTATTACAGAAGCGGTGAGGGTTTTTAACCTGTAATCATGAAATCTGCATAAAAGTACATCTCACACAGTTTATACCCCTAGAATGAAGTCTTTTCTTGAACTGGAATCATGGGAGGTAGCATTTATGGTTGAATGGAACAAAATTCTGAAGTGATTTATAGAAACAAAACAAAATGTGCAGAGCAGGGAGTTGTGAGGACCAGGATTGAGAAATAGAGGCGATAGCGGTATACTTTACGAAACGTTTACTAAGAAAACACTTTGCATTATCAGGCAACAATTCATGCTTATTAAAAGTTGTGTTTTTTTGGTTGAAAGCAGTGTCATGTAATTGGCCCATTAATAACTCATTTGGACAATTTTGTCTGTTAAATACAGTACATTATAATCATACATTTAGATGCATCCCAGATTGATTCCTTCATCCATTTTCTTATCGCCTTAGTCCTTTTATTAATCTGGGGTCGCCACAGCGTAATGAACCACCAACTTATCCAGCATATGTTTTACACTGCGAATGCCCTTTCAGCTGCAACCCAAAACTGGGAAACATCCATACACACTCATTCACACTCATACACCTTGGACAATTTACCTTACCAAATTCACCTACAGCGCATGTCTGAGGACTTGTGGGGGAAACCGGAGCACCCGGAGGAAACCCATGCGAACACAAGGAGAACATGCTAAACCCCACACAGAAATGCCAACTGACCCAGCCAGGGCTTGAACCAGTAATCTTCTTGCTGTGAGGCAAGAGCGCTACCCACTGTGCCACCATGCTGCCCGCATCCCAGATTATACACTCTGTTTTCATAAGTAAAAATAGTGCAAGTAGTGTGCTTACTTTAAAACTTCCTAAATAAAAAGTGGGTATTGACATACCCGGATGACACTCTAATTTAACTGGAAAAATAAAAGTTGAATGTTGGATAATCCTTGGTGTCACAAATTTAATTAGTAGGCTACTTCTAATTTTGGTTTGGTGTTTTGGCACTTTGATGTGTTTAACATGTTCCCTTCAACCATCGAGTGCCTTAATGTTTTCACTTCTAACTTAGTTAAAGTTAATACATTATATGGTTGAATTAGTGAATAAGTACAGGCTGTTGAATGCTTAATACTGATTGGTTGCTGAACAATCTAAGTAGTGAAATCATTTTCATAAAAATGCACAGATAGTTCCAGGCAGGTCTTTATTATCACTATGCCTACAAAAGCCTATGGCTCAGTGGTTAGCACTGTCGCCTCACAGGAAGAAGGTCTCTGGTTCAAGCTCCAGCTGGGTCAGTTTGCATGTTCGTGTTAGCGTGGGTTTCCTCAAGGTGCTCCTGTTTCCTCCAAATTACAAAGACATGCTGTACAAGTTAATTGAAAAAGCTAAATTGGCCATAGTGAGGGTGGGTGCATGCGAGAGTGTATGGATGTTTCCCATTGATGGGTTGCGGCTGGAAGGGCATCTGCTGCGTAAAACATATGCTAGAGATAAGTTGCTGTTTCATTCTGCTGTGGTGATCCTGATTTATAAAAGTACTAAGCTGAAAACAAAATGAATGAATGAATAAATCGGCTGTAGTGTATGTGTGTGAATGATTATATAGGTGTTTCCCAGTGCTGGGTTGCAGCTGGAAGGGCATCCGCTGTGTAAAGCATATGCTGGATAAGTTGGTGGTTCATTTCGCCATGACCTCAGATTAAAAAAGGGACTAAGCTGGAAAAAAAAAATGAATGAATGTGCTTGGGTATGAACAATGTGCTTATGTGTCGTAACCATAATTTATGCATAATAATTAACTCTGGTCCAGAGAATTATTCCTTACAGAATGTATAATGTGTCATTTGGGACACAACTAAGATCTTGCTCATATAGTTCAGTATTTGTAAAAAATGTAATCTGAGAAATGACTTTTATTCACCTGAGTGCTAAAACAGGTGCAGCCTCAAGGGGCTTCTCAGCTGTTGCCATGACAACCGTAGAGGAGTGGCCCCTCGGGGATTAGAGAGTCAAATACCTTTGGTACATTCGCAGAGTGTAAAACCCTGGGGCAATGGAGATATGACTTTACCCTCCATCTTCATCCCACACTGAGCCTTTGTCTGGTGCTTATTTATAATATCCTGAAGTCTGGAGAGTTGATAAATGTCATTGCTGTTTGATGTTGAATTATAAATAATGAGTTCCAGAGCAAAGCTCCTTCATCCAGTTCATAATCATTTGAAAGGCAGAAAGTTTTGCTTTCACCACTGTGCTGTTGCTTCAGTCCATGATAATGTGGACTCTCTACTTTGGATAATTATTTGCTATATGGTTAGGAATTTAGTAAAATAATATGTTTCAATATATTATTAATATAAAGTAAGTCTGAAGCTATAGCATTTATAAAGCATACAGTGCTCAGCATGTATAAGTACAGTACACCCCTCACAAATTTATCTTTTAGATTCATATTTTAAATATTAAGCTATACAATATTATATTTGTGCATATACATTAGATAAGTCAGTACTGAAGGCCAGTCTGGAGCTTATCTAACAAAATAACTTAAGATAACAGTCCAAAAACTAGAACACCCAAATAGATATGTTAGAGAAAAATATTAAATACAAATAAATCAAAAATTAAGAGAAGCAAAAAAATGGAAAAGTTTAGTTGAAATTTTGTAGGTTGTAATTTTTATTGTAATTGCAATATTTTGCTTAAATGTAATTGTTTTATCTTTCAATTTCTAAATATGTTTGGTGACTAAAATATTATTTGAATAAATAAATCTGTTTAATCAATCTGTTTTGTTTAAATGCACCAAACTACATTGTCTATATTCACTGAGAAATGGATAAAAATCTTTATTTTAATGGGGTGTATTCAATCATGCTGAGCACTGTAGGTACAGTAAAAAGTACACAGATTTGGAAGTGTGCATAAGATAACCAAAACCTTAATCTCTGAGAGTAAAGGAGAGTACTGTATTTGTAAGTGAACTGACACAATACGTCTGGTATATACTGTATAGTGTATATTCACATAACAATGACAACCTGGCAGATGTAGTTTGGAGCTTAGGCGAACTACACTACACTAAACTGCATTGTAGTCTGTTGAATAGTTTGGAAACTTTAAAGGAAAATACAGTATATACACCAGTAGCCCAAATAAAATGCAAAAATGAAAATGTAAATCAAATCCTTTGCCGTATGATAAAGTATACGTTTTGACTTCAAACTCGAAAATAAAATAAAGAAAAAGCAAAATAAGGTCAAAAATCTTGGTGTGATTCTAGAGTCAGATCTGAGTTTCCACATGCATGTCAAAGCAGTAACTAAATCAGCACACTATCATCCCCAAAACACTGCAAGAATTAAAGCTCTTACACACCGGGACGCTTTTTCCGTTTATCGCCAGCGTTTTACGAGAAGTGTTTACGTATCCAAGCGATTTTCACTGGCATCAAGCAGAAGAGTATGCAAAATCACTCCTTGATGTTAGATGGCGCTACACAACTCTAAGCATCTAACACCCACTTGTAAAACAGAAGAAGAGGAAGAGAGGAAGTTCACATGCTTGTTATTAAAGTTACTGGTGACTCGAACAAGGATGGATGGTTCAAGCAGCAGTTCCAGCTCTAGCGATGAAGAAATGATTGTTCAGTGCAATAAGCAGCTCCACGTTCATATGGCCTCTGGCAATGACTGTAAAAAATATGGACGACGCGACAGCCCCTTTTCCATTGAACGCCTTGAGGGCAAAACGCCTGCTTGACGGGCACAAACTGTCGCAAAAGACTGCTGAAATTGGAGCCTTGACATGCGCAGAAGGACTGTCTGATGGAGCCAGAGGAGGAGCCGCGAAAATGAGCGGAGTCGAGCTTCCAACCAAACGCTTTATGTAAAATCAACCACGCCCCCCGAACTTCTCAGCATGCGTTTGCTGTCATATCAACACAAATGGATGTAATAACGTTAACAAATATGAGGGTTTTATATATTTAATCGCGCAAGCTCCGGGCCGCAGCGCATAACCTACTCGAGGCGTCGCGGGCTGATTCCGGCTCGCATGCAGCAGCGCCGGCTGGAACTGGCTCGAGTGTATTTTGCTATCTGGGTGGTTAGGCGTGTATCAGCAAACTGATAACGCCCGAAAAAACCCCTGACCTTAGCGAATAAACAGTGTTCCACCAGGATCATGTATGTCAGAAACTGTAGTTTACTGCTGAACTCATTTTGTCATGGTAAAATAACACAGAAATCGAAAAATAACACTTCAGTCTTCTGCCGAAGCTCAGACGCGCTGCTTTGAGAAACTGTCAATCACAACTGTCAATCACGATGACACGCCCAGCATTAAATTACTGCTAAAAACAAACTGTTTACAAAATTGAAGATCTACACCTATTTCAGCACAATAACCAGTGCCTTAATCGACCAGAACCATCTTTCGGAACATTTTATTGCAAGTGTAATACATTTTTTTTATTTGGGCTCAAGTCTCCTTCATTAACACGGAGGAGGCGGGCTTTATGACTTGTACTG